TATATATATATGGTTTCTTTTTGCCTTCAGGTCTTATTTCTTCAAAGATGCTTGTGAATATAGGTGTTTGCGTTGACTAACTATGACCCAATTGGAACGTTCAAACATGACAGATGTTTCAGAAACATTACTTCGTCCCATGTTTCATCTACGCGAATGAACTCATGTTATAGAACTAAGACGTACACCTTTTTCTGGCGAGGATCTCTCATCAGCGAGAAATTAATGGCCAAAACACACCGGAAATCGACAATTAGTAGCTCTGATCTCATTTCCCATGTTAATTTCAGTAAAAAAGGCAGGAGATGGAATAATCATGGGGAATCTGACTGAAAGCAATTAGGAAAGTGAGCAAAGATGTTGGTCAGCTTAGCACCGGCTAACGTCCACATGATGACTAGTGTATGCATCCCGGCGAGCTACAATGCAACCTTTTCCCCTTTTATTGTTTCACTGGCGGAATAAGCTGGTAATACCAAAATGAAGTTATGGTAATTAGTTTGACGGTTGAACACCCTAAAGTGCCACCACGTCCTGACCCTACTAGTGGTTCTATAGGTCTAAATCCCAAATCTGGACACTTGATGAAATATTGCACAATAACGACCACATCACCTTCCGTGTGCTACGTATATTGGCTTTCGACCACAAAATATCAATTCTGTCGAAATCCTACTAATTATTTCGGGCATTCCTACCCATTTTGGTGATAAATCCCATATGCGGGCTGAGAACATTATGCATGTACTAAGCTTTTGTAATTTGAATGTGGCCCTGTGGTTTGATGAAACTAGAGAACAAGAGAGACAATATTCAGAACCTAGTCACTGTTCCTTTGGATGGCATCTAGCTGAAGGTTTACAAATAACCTGAGAGCAAAAGTCTCGGATCTCCCATCCGCGGTCATATGTCGTGTACACGAAGCCGGTGGCCACCTCGTGAACAAAGCCTAGCAGGAAGTTTTCCTTCGGCTGTAAATTTGCTACTTCTGGAACTTTTCCATTATCTATATGGTGGCTGCGCAGTTCACCAATGTCCCGATGAGTTTTGCCGCGGCGCAGTTAGTTGACTGGCTCCCATGTTGCCTCGGTTCCTGTTTTGACCAGGGTTTAGCGGCAGGCCACCACCAATCGTGCACCCACCCCAGTCACATTTGGCTCACACGTCCGAGCTTCTCTGTCAACGGTCCCAGCGTAAGTGACCGGGGCGAATAAGGTCTGTGTAAGCACGGGTGAATGTAGTGGGAGCCAGAGAATGCAGTTGAGGAGACCTATTCGCCTTTCCGGTTGGACGAAAGCTCCCACGCAGAGGCCACTGAGCCCTCAAATGCAAATAAACGGGAGCCGTCGGAAGGCCGGTGGACCGTTCAAATTCATACAGATTTGTTTGGGAAAAGTAGTAGCTGTCTCTGGCTTACTCTGTAAAGAGTTGCATTACAGCGGTTGCGTGAGGCAGTAAAATCTGACTGAAACTAGCCAAGTCCTTACAGAGGCCAACGGCAAAGTTGCGATCAGGCTGGAGAAAATTTGTAACTGGAAGACAGGAGAGTTAAGAACTCTGAACGAGGCCCACCAGACTTGTGTGCTGTTCACTGTGGTTCCTTAACCATGGGTCACCCACAGGTCTGTGTCGATTTGGATTTCCCAAGCACTTGGATTCACACTCCTGTTGTATGTAGTTATCCAATCTATCCGATCATGCCAGTAGGGGTGAATATTATCTCACCAATTCTCGAAGCTTGGGTGTAGTTCTGTAGACTTTATGAAAGGGTAAACGGATTAACTTGGTGTGCCAAAGTGTTATGTGCGTTCATCCTGCGTCATTTCGACCCGAAGAACGAGTACAAACCAACTTCAGTCACCCTCCGCCGTTGACGGATAGTCAGAGCCACATTATCTACAGACAACATTAAGTGACCTGTACCAAAGAATAGAGTTAAGAAAGACTATAGTTGTGAACGAAATTCCGGGAAATTACTGCCCAGTAGTAAAAATCTCAGCTCAGGTACAAACCGCTGGGTTGATGGTTTATTATGGGTTTCAACGAGGAACACAGCTACTTCGACCGGCATTTGTGCCATTGCTAACCAAAATCAGAATTAGCTGTCTGTCAATGATGCTCCACTAACCAAGTACACCAGGTATCAATAAGTGTCGAAAAGGCATTCTTGAATTCCATCAGGATCCTGCGGTTCCGAGCACTCGGAGTTGTGCAGTATTTGTGGTTGCTTGGCATTTTACGCTCTTCTCGGTACCTACGCACACTGATTCCACATCTTTCACGTATTAAAGCTGCACCAATGCAGTGGATACCAGAAGTCCGATGTCTCGAGCATCGAGAATCTTATTCTCCCTATTCTTCTCTAGGCATTCAACTGACAATGCGTGAAAGCTTCCTGATCATTTCGTAGTGTTTCTATTACTCGAAACAATTCTGCGTAAATTACACAGAAATTCATTTGAACAGCTTACATTCCTCTTTGTTTCATTCTCTGCGCGATCTCATGTCAGCCATGCTGTTTCCGAACAGGAAGTCATCTCATCAGCTTCAATGCTGTTACAATGTCGAATCGATAGCTTCATGCATTCCCCCCATATCTCTACACGCAACGATTCTTTTGATGTTTTCTCCTAGTTCTGATTTCAGTTCGTTCAGCTGTCTTTTCTTTGACATTTCGTGGGGTTTTCTTTGATCGTATATGACGGTGTGTTATGCGCGCAAACGGAACTAGAGACATTCATTCAGCTTGCAAACCCATGTGTGGATTGATTTACAGGATAGATTAGGTCGATTAGAGCTCCGAGTGAGTTTGCTATTCTGACAAACTTGTGCGTGCAATGTTTTATGGTCAGCAGTTTTTGTTGGCCTAAAAATCATAGCGGCAAGGTGAATTATGTTGAGATTCCATCGGGGTTATTATTATTATATTATTATGAGTTATCAATAAGCAGTTCCAGTGAAATTAGGTGGCTTTTGGATGACGTTGAATCTTTCGTTCAATTGCAAGTACTTGACTTGGCACCCAGATATGTGGAAACCTTTCGTCGGCATCACCGCGATGTGAATTCCCATGAGAATATGGGAACGACATTTCTAACAATGGTCTCACTCGGGGTGGCGCGGACAATACTCAATAGTTCGTGGTGAAAACATCTAAGGATTGAACATGACTTTCCCACATGTTGCTTTCAGAGTCAATAATATAGCTCTTTTCGGATTTAGGTTACCGAACTCGGTCAGGTATTATGGCCCATTCAAAAGACATAAAACTCTTATTTCACCTTCTGAATGAGCACCTTCAAGCTATCTGATTTCAATCAAGGTACATCATTCTTGGCTTGCATTGCTCAGGGTTTGATTAAGAAGCAGTACGATAGTCATCAAAACCGAAATCTTTCGTGATGATGGAATCTACTATGTTTCAAATTTTTACAACTGAAGGAATCCATTTTCGGACGATTGCTCTGATGCTGATAACTCTGGTTGTTGGTGCTATCAGGTCATACTGACTCATTGACAGTGTTGTGGCTCAGGCTAATACGTGTCAATAAATGATGCCTAACTTCCGACCAGTTATGGCGGTCGAATCTATCGGAGTTTATCTGCACTGCATAAGGCGTATTTATATTGTTTGTTTGTTTGGACGGATCATCTGTAAATGCAATGTATGCGTCATTTAGGCTATTCAGTATCAATAGCCTTTGTATAAACAACGGTCTGTGCTAAATCAAGTGACCAGCGAGGCATAATCGAATGGTTCTTAGGTGATAGAATATCGGTAGATCGTTCGCTGTTTTCTCAGAGAGTTTGCAGTGATGAGAATGGCTTACCTACCGTAGCAGCTTAACCGGATCTCTCTCATTATGCAACAACGGTCTACAGAGGTTGTGTAGATATTGTCACAGACACGCAGCAGGTAAAATGCTTTGAAGCCAAGTAAACAGAACAACAGTCAGAATAAATTTGTAAATTTGAGTCTTTAAAAAAACGAGCAGAGAAACGGTTGTCTCCATGTGTCCCTCTCTGTGCTTTGCTGAAGACTGAAGAATATGGCTGCTAATCAGTGTCAGTAGCGCGCATGCCATCAGTTTCTGTTCCGATTGTCTGACTAAGTGGTGGAAGTGCAGGCACTTGGGATGTTTCTGGTGGGTTAACACTAGATCCCTCACCATGAGATTTCTTTCGATTATAGAACGTCATTCAAATAAATTGACATGGTTCAGAGGCTGTGAAGCACCAGTGTTCTCATCCACTGTTGCTGTCAATGCTAACGATAATGATGATGACGAATACAGTGGAAATTAGGAAGTTCGAAGAAGCATTCGATCAAGCTGAGTCAGAATAAACGGACAGGTCAGTCTGACAGAGGAGTTTAGCAGGGGCATCGGTTTATTGGAAGCTAGAAGGAGGGGCACGGCTGAATCAATTTTTAATGAAACTTGCCATGACCAACACGACCAAGAATGGGCATTGGACCCTACGCGTTGCTCAACTGGAGATTTCCAGTAAGTAACAGGAGAAAATGTGGTGATGGGTAGGTCTGGATTACAACGTCGGTGGAACGGTTTTGTATTCCAAACGTGACAGCAATGTCCTAAAGTAGAACAAATGTGAGGTTTCTAGAAGAAAAGTGGACGACGCGAACTAGCACTGAGTATCTGCTGACATGAAGTTACCTGTGGTAAGAACTTGCTATGCTCTGGCAACAGAATCACCCGCTGATTTTGGGTGGAGAAGTTATTAAAACAAGTGATCCATCGGAGTGAACTCCTGACTTTAGTACCAGATGTGAAATGCGAGGTGTGGCATGCGAGGTTCATCAGCCTGGATGGCGAGCAAACCATGTGCAAATTCGCTCCTTATTCTGCTGATGAAATCACTAGCTAAGAATAACAAAGTGACCTCATTCAACTACCTCGTGCAGACTATTGGCCTATTAAAAGAACAGGCAGGATTAAGTGTTTTGGTGTCGGTGGCAGGGTAGTTGCTTTTAACCTGGTTCATGGTATACAAAAGATTACTGTTTTTATAGAAAAAGATTATTTAGTACGTATTTCTTTCTGACCATAAAAATTTAGCACCTGAAACGGATGAGGTGTAGGCCTTGTCCACTGTCTTAGAGTTTTGGCTTTTGCGGGCAATCCTTTTCAAGTGTCCTGAGGGAAAATCGACGTGGTTGTTTCGTTCACTTGCCATTGGTTCGATTTGGTTGCATGTGCTCATCGATATTTAGTCACCGTATGGCCGTAACCCGTCTCCACAGGCGGAAAACTAACAGTCTGTTATCCACGTTGCTATTGATGCTAAAAACCACGGAATCGCCACACCAACCGTTATCATCTCACTTTTTATCATAGTTGTATGATGATGACAATTCCATGGGGATTCAAACGCTAGATAGCGATAAGTATTGACCCACTAAATTAAATTTTATTCCAATTGCGTGCATTGTGGGTGGATCACGAGTGTGAGTCTGCCTCTGGGATTGATCGCAGGACACGCATGAACGGGAAAAACATTTGGGCCTGAATATACTTCTATTTGATGGCCATCAGACAGCTCAAATTCAAGTAAACCCATTCAATATATCTGAGTTCTCTCCATCGCAAATCACTTCTCGTTGAAATGCGAACTCATTTTTTGTCCGCTGCTTTTTCTAAACACTGGACAAAACACATAAATATAACCTGAAAGTGATAGAACCGCTCACAACGGCCCCAAAAGAAATTCGACTCTGGGGAATGGTTTTTTATCGAAAGTAAGGCCTACTGGATGCAAAAAACTGAGAAAGTGAAACCAATGAAAAATTCTCGGCTAGCTGAAGGACCATTTCAGTTAATTCAGGATTCATCCCCACGTTAATGGTTGTCTTCATAACGAGGGGTTTCAGCTGGATGTGATGCTCCCATTTCAGTTAATTCAGGATTCATCCCCACGTTAATGGTTGTCTTCATAAACGAGAGATTCAGCTGGATTCAAGTGATGCTCCAAAAGCATATTCGTAAGGGAATGAGGGCATTTGCGAAATTACGTCAAATTTTGTTTCAGGTAGACCGTCGGGTTGACGGAATCTCGTGGATTGCACCTACCTGATGAAACCCACGAAGTGTGAACTCTCGGAGAGTTTGTAGCTTGTGTTCAATCCACGCCGAGCCACCCATTCCTAAGTCGGAATTAGAATATTCAGTGGCACACGTCTTCCGCGCACACACGGCGCGTGCTTGGCCTTAGGCAGACAACAATATTTTTGTAGAATCGACTGGTCAAACACACTGACCAGGCCAGGAGTAAGACGTTGTGTTGATCAAGCCTTTCTCTGCTGTTTGGTTTGTATGTTGCTTATAGTCCAGTTCTCGGGACGTTGTTCCTGTGATGTGATTGTTTATGAATCCTAAGAACTCTCTAAGTAGAGTCGTAGTGTGCCTCGTTTTGTGACTTCGAATCGATTTCACATAAGATCATAAGATCCATCAGACTTCCTTCGAACCAAAAGTTTGCCACATTTGGGTCGACTGTGACCATTCAGTGCGTCAGCCTGATTTAGTGCCAATCTTGCTCTATATTAAACAGAAAGAAAGTAGTATTTGGAGCCTATGTCTCGGTATCGTATCACCCGTTTCCCAATCAATCCATCTGCTCCTCGAGGAATTCCGATTTGCTAGTGATATACAGTGGTCAACCGTATACTTCAGATTGAAGCTGAGAAATTTTTGGGAAAAATCACTGTTTCCATTCTTCCACTTTTCGATGAGAGACCAGTCGACACTTTCAAACAGTCCATGTGTTACATATGTAGTCTTAAACTTAGTCACCACGAAAACACAAAATTTCCCCTCACTACTTCATCCACATTCAGACCCAAATACATATTATGGTTGATGTTGAGGGATTATACGCAACTACCGACTTCTATGCCAGGAAAAAAATGCTGTTGACTAGCGTCTTTCTTCTTTGTGTACTGATGTAGTTCACGTTGTGATGTGTGTGTGACCTTAACCGACGCTACCTTCACAATCAAATTATTTCAAATCAGTGCGTCCATTTTAGAACAGTAGATGATAAAGAAGAATTAGCAAAATAACGAAGCCCATGTTAAGCTTACATAGTATATGTGCCCCATTCACCTCCTTCATTGCCTTGTTTCTATTTCAAATCTGGTAAATTCTCGTTTTACAAGACCTCGGAAATGTTAGCAAAACAGAGCCCTCTTCAAGCTGTTTGTTATTAACTGTAATATGAAATATTGCCTTGTCCAGTCGTCATCAAGTATAACTCTTGCTATTGTTTCCCAACCTTGTTTTCCTTTTAATCGTAAAGTCAGCCAATTTACAGGCGTTCTCACTTCATTCAGGGCAATCAGCAGGATTTCGTCCGCCTTCTGTTCAGCTGCCAGTTACTTGCTAACTTGAACAAATAATTCCTCTGGGTATTGAGGTTAACATATTTGCGTCACAATCGCCGCGACTGCAGATTTTTCCTCAAGGTTGGAACAGTGTCCGCCATCTTCATCTATTCGCTAAGAAAATAGAAAATACTTAACTTTTGGCCTGCTATGTCCAGCTTGCATCTTTTAGTCCTCTGTGTGCGTCGTCAGTTATCCAGAAAACTCGCTGTGTCGCCTGTCAAAGGTCACTTACAGCGAAACGCCTGAACATTTTTCTAAAAATCTCACGAGTGGACTGCCCACAAGGCATTGGGACAATAACACATTCACAGTAACTGGTTATTAGAAAACGTCCAAGTTAGTCAATAATTTTAAGACGCCCCGATCATTTCGACTTAGATTGTCACCAAGCTTTGTCATCCCGGAAGATCCACTAAGGACAAGAATTCAGCAATTTAGAAAGTGAAAAGCAAGCAAACACTCAGTTCTTTTCAAAACAGGTGTTTAGTGGTCAACAATATTAAGTTTCGTAATCATTTTTGAAGTGTTTTACCTTAGGATCTATCAAGGAAGGGGACTTGGCACTGTGTGTCCTTCAGTGAAACACATCTCATTGATCTCATGTGTAATACCGGCACATTTTACGCTATTCACTCCACGGGATTCCTTTGGCACTGCGCAAACGCAAAAGTGGATGGTTCCAAACAATTTATGAAAAGATATCCACAAATATCATGAAAAATGTTGTCCACTTTACCAGTGTGAGACTAGCTGGCGACTTAAATGTCTAAATACCTCCTTTTGGACAACGTGTCCCGAAAAAAACGTTGCAAACAGATCAGAAGCAAAATAACTGGAATGCTTTTTGAGATTTTCACCCGCGTGGTACCGTTCACCTACGGGTCTGGTGACTAGACGAAGGTAGATTTTGGAAATCCACCGTACAAGTTCATATGTGGTTTACTAGCCCTTTTCTGTGTACGAGGGCTGAAAGTTTTTGCACCTGAACTGGGGCTAATCTTCAGTGCCGAATCTGCTGAAGGTTGACTGGTCTCTCTGGAATCGAGTAACTCCACGCTGGCTTCATCCATCTGGGGTTTCTCACTTTCTAACGCGGAGCCGTCGTACCGTTCCCATTCTGTTTTATCTGGTCTTCGTAATTCAGCGCGTTGTGTATAGTAGTAACGTGATGGTTCCATTCCACGATTTGGGTACACTTCCAATGGACTCAGACAGTATCGATTTTCATCAACGTCAGTCCAACCTTGCAACGCCTGATAGTCATCTGCAAATAATTAGGGAATGTAAATACTCTTGATGTCATGCTTATTGTTTAGGGAACAGGTAACAAAATAAAACAAAGAAAATATTTTAGGAATTGACAAAACGTAACATTATTTAGCTAACGAAAGTTTCGGTGGTTCAGGACCGACAACCTCGTTCTTATCTGAGATCCTTTGGGGAAAACAAGGAAGAAGTATTTGCAATTCGGATATTCGCGACATAACGTTTATTCACAATGAGTATATGAGAATCTGACAGTAGCCCTCATATCCAGCATACTAAGCTATCTTTCCATTAACCTGCTCAATATAATGCCGTAGTTATTTGTCCTGGACATATTACAGCTTACTTTCAAGCATGCGCTCTTGTAAATACCGCATAAAAATAATATGGTCAGCAAATACAGCAACTGCTAATTGCTTACATCCGGGCCACCCATGACTCTATCCTCGAATATGTACCTACTTTGATTAGAAAACATACAAGCATGATTTCCTGCCAACGCGGACATTCAAATAGGTTCCCTTAAAGGAGTGACGTGCGCATTGAAGATATGTTCAATTATCTATCGCACACCCATAAGGCAATAATCGGGAAACGGCGGATTATTGTCGTATGGCCCTTTTCTTTTGATCGATATGCGGAAGAATTACCCATGTAGCTAGAGGATTTGACCAAGGTTCACTATTGCCCTAATACTCAATATGGCCAAAACAAACTCTCATTTACCAGATGTAATTTGGCTGTTCTTTGTCTAGACTGCAGCCACTAGCTCAAACCGACATGAGGGTGAGAGAATAACCAACTGATCTTGTCCGAAGCAGTGTGATTACTGTGTGATTACTGTGTCAGCTGCTAAGAGCTGGTCTCACTTTAAGAACATCCGCATGACACTGCTCGGGGAACAGCAGCGTAAAATCAAACGCTTTCGGTTTCCTGCTGGAATATAGTCCCTCTTGTTGTTGACGTTACAAAACGCTTCTTGTACTTGGAAGGTACAGGACTATTTCGATATCTACCAGGGTGTTCAGGTTCACCGCCTTGCTAGGTTTTTTGACAAATGGATCGCGTACAAGGCGTTTCACCCTAGGGACAGCATCTTTCAATATTGCAATCCATTTAATACAAACCAAGTACGCTGCTACTTTGGGTATATCATTAATTCTTCTATTAGGCACGTTCTTGAGGTTAACGGTTGGTCGACTGCATTCAGCCCTTGCAATACTGAAGCAGTTGGCGGTAGATTTGATCGGATCTGAAGCGGATCAGCCCTAAGACTTTAACTTCCTTCGAGTATAGTCCACCCTCAAGCGAAACGTCTAAGCTGGTAGACAAAAACGAGAAATCACACGCTTGTTGGTTCGAGCGAAAATGCATAGTTTGTAAAGCCATAAAAAGACCAATTAACTCCTGGATCGATATATTACTGATTTGTACTTTCAACACCAGAGTGTACGTACATGTCAGTGGAGGACACATACCTGTGCTTGACAAGAGTATGTGTGTATTAGCTTAGCCGAGTTGTCTGAGTAGCGTGATTGATTTCACTAGTATCACTCCGGTCAGCGTTGGCACTGTGAATAAGATGTGTACTCTGCTTTGTCACCGGTCAATCAGTAGTGTCAACCATCAACATAATATTGAAACAGCCGTACAATCACACCAAATTCCGGAATGACAACTAGGACAATTGGTCAGGTTGTTTAATTGTGTCTCAGAAGACCTTGGTTAAAGTGTGGGGCAACTCCTCTTCTTAAGCGAGGTAGAAAAGGTGTACTCAAACCTCATGAATTACAGTAATGGCTTTGATCTGCTTGTATCCAAAGTGATCAGGCTTCCACTGCCCCAACCATAAACGTACTGGTCGTGATGCCATCTCAAACCCGATCAATCGAATCAACAAGCCACTACAAAAAATACAGTCCATCCAAATAACACGCATGGATGTCGGCGGACAAATAATCTAACGACTGAAATGTGCTCCAATAAGATCTCTGACATCATTGAAGCAGTAAGGCAGAAGCCATAGTGGACCACAGTTTTGTCGTAGCGAATAAAATCGCAAGTAGAATGCGCAAATTTTGCTTAGCAGTACATTCAGATATGGCAACGTTACAATCGAACTGGCGAGAAACGCCCATTTACCACTCCATGAGCTACAGTGAGCAGAAAAACGGAAGATACTTCGAAATTGTGTACACAGGTACCAAATACTGGATTATAAAGCAACTACGAATTTGCAGGGAGATCACTACGTCAGTGGAGAACCATGGTAACCCCCAAATCTAGGGCTATTTTACGGAAGCTCGACTTAAGATCGAAGGACAGCTGTGACAAAGCCAAGAAGATTAAGTGTCAGGAGGGACACCTGCAAAACCTGTTTGACCAACCCGGATAAGATCATACATGGGAATTTAATTAACGTGATGTAACCCATATCTCTAGTGTTCATGCACGAATACAAAAAGGGCCACGGGTTCAAGTTGGAAAACCTAAAAGCGCGGAAATACAAGACATGGAGAGCTCCAAGACGAATTCCATCAATCGACACGTTCAAAGGGACCCAGTTCATGCACCAATGTATGCAAAGAACTGTCTGTTCAAGCATGATACTCAAGTAGAGTTAACTATCGAGCCAAACAACCAAGACATAGGGACCCTTCAAGAATGGAACCCAGAGAAGCCAAGGTCAGGGCTCACTTCGTGGAAGACAAGTTAACGGGAGCAGTAGAGACTGAAGTCAAGGTTCATGCGTCAATCGAAAAGTCAAAATAACAGCCAACCAATCAGCTAGTATAACCTCCCCCTCAAATAACCACTCACAATCGAAGGTCACTTCTGACCAGCAGAAAGTCTACATACACACCTCACCAATTAGGCAATGAACAACGAACAGCTACGCTCCGCTTCACAAAAACGCAGGCATCCTACCACTGACGAGACGTGAGCAACCAAATTTCATAGCTCGGTGAACGAGCAGTAACTTCAGAAGTTATACTTCCTAAAATTAACTCTGAACTGATAATTCATTCTCTCGTTTACAAATTTTACCGACTTTTGATTGGTAAAAAGTGCTGAGACGATTGGGTTACTTAGTCTTTTGTTTGTTTTGGATTCATAATTCAGAAAAATTTTTTTCTGACATACTTTGCACTTACGCTATGCTATTAGTAGTCTTCGCGGATTGAATGAGTAAATTGTGAAATTTTTGTGGACTGACAGTTTTTTCATCCTTTTATGAGAACAAAATTCGGAATCGGATGAATGAGTGGTTGTTGTTCTGTTTGATGATCTGTGGAACTCGACTAAAACCAAACTAATCAGATTGTTATGCAGATTAGCTACCAACTAGACAATCAACACTGTACTGCTGCAGTACTGAACTAATAGTTCCATCAAACAAAAAAAATCTAAGTAGATTCAGGTCTGATTCAATTACACGCCGTTTGCGATGATGACTTGGCGACTGAAAAGTTCCAGCCATTTGTTAGTTACAACCATACCGGCCGGATTGAACGTTCTTATTCATCCTCCTTGTTGCACACGGGAATCGGAATATTTAAGTCGAGTTCTACTCTTATTTTAGGCCAATACGGCTATCTGCGTACAGCCTTCTTGGTGTTAGAACTATAACCTTGTTAAAAGGACAGTAATTTTAGACTGTTGCCACGTCTTATTATATGAATTTCCTCAAATGAATATGTAAATGTGACCGACTTTTGTGGTGCGCATAGGTAAGCCCACAAACCGAAAGACGGCCAATAAGGCCCACACTCAACGCCACCTACTTTTGGTGTCAGTTGCAACAAAGGTTGATTGCTTATCGGCGGCCACAGATTTTGTTGACTCGTTACCGTGCAGCCCGATGGTTGCACCAAGGTGGACGAAAAAATCCCGTCATTGAAAATACTCAGTCTAAATCAGCTCTATTTTTGTTAACTTATCTGTTCTGGAGAACAATCTAAAATAAACGGACGGATGTGTAATCCCAAAACTGTACGACTGAAGTTAAAGCATGTCAGATTTCTGAAAAAAACTCGTTCCATTCGATCTCAGTGATGACAGTTTAGGTCGACTTGTTTTTATGCGAAGTTAGCGCATTGAATTATTGCCAGCTTGTTGATGCCACATACTGCAACATGTCGTTTGCTTGTGAGTGCACTAATAGCGTAGTTCCGATTGTAATCGCCCCAAGTGGACCTTTAAACGCTCCCCCCTCATAATTAGGGAGATGAGCTAAACCATTTCCTCTCTCCCCTTATATAATTAAGGTGAAACAGGCTCCTCTCTGTGTTTGAAGTATTGTGGAAGAATGTTGAAGCCCTGTATGTGTGCGCATGTGTTTGTTTACATATGACGCTGAAAAAGGCAAGATATGTCCACAGGTGTACGTTCAAAGTTTTATGGGCAACGAGGGAATTTAGAAGTACCCAGTCTGAGTAATACTATGCATCCACGCGTGAAGTCTTGTGATGGTCTACCTGCGGAAGACTCTGTTGTCATTACTGGTGACTTGGTTAGTTTTATGGCTCTTCCAATAAATGAAGTTTGCAGACCATTAAAAGACGTGTGTTTTCACTAAACTAGCGGAAAGAAACTTTGTTGAACCAGTCTGTTGTCTGTCTGTTTTAAAGTCAGTGCCGGTTGTCACATGGTTGTTCAAGCTTTCAACGCCGGTCTAATTAGTCAGAGCTACAGATTATCCTATTACCTTCGTGTACTAAACGAATCTAGATGCGCTTAGGCGAAGAACCCTCATACCTTGAAGTTGATTAGAGGTCGACATATGTGTACCGTGGCAGGAACGTGAGACTAAGGATGTCAACTTTTTCTTTTCGGTCGTCCCTTTTATTTCAACTTAGGCCTGTATGATCTGACGCGGAAAAACCATGTTATACGCAATCACGCTTTGGATTTCGTTGGCTGTTTTGGGCACTCTGAGGAGTCAGCTTGCTGAACTACGTCTATCAGTGGACGAGTTTTCTTCTTAGTTGGCACCTCCGGTGACAGGAGATTCAAAAGGATGTCCTTAGTTTGAAAAGCCTAGAAATGATTCGCATTGGGTTACGGATGCATTTCGAAAAATGGTTCTTCAAGTGGACATACAAGTTTTACTCATTGTCAATAACAGCAAGATTTTAACTAATAAGTGTGGCGTTAAATAACGATAATGCAGCAACTATCTGTAATCAGTAAGTTTTCCTTTCAGAAATACCGCTTTCACAGCGGGCATCCAAATAGCCTAAGCAAACAGTTGATGCATAGGCCAACCAAACTCTCAAGAAAAATGCACATTTTTGATTCGGCTGATCAAATTCAACGAACTCGTTAGATGTGAACTGAAGGCTTACGTGGTAGTGTGGCAGCCGGCAAACCACCGCTAAGAAGGTCGAATTCGGAACCGCGTCCCACAAGTCCTGAAATGCTTCGGGTTGGTTGTTGTGATCCATTTGTGACGAACACATTCAAAGGTCCTGTCAGTCCAGTGCTCGGTGAAGTTCCTGGACAAGGTACGTGAAATCCCGTTCCCGGAATGGTTCCAAACTCATGTATAGCGGAATTGTTGATAAGAGATATGCCTCCATTCAGCCCTCGGTTGATGAATTGTTTGTTCGCACACAAAGGTGAGCACTGTATAAACAAAGGCAACCGTAAACGTTAGCAAGAAAACAGAGTCGGAGAAATGCAAGGCGTCCGCTGCTGGGACACTGATGTCCACAAGTGTAGTTTCATTTATTTACTCATCTGAATGGAAGACCATGTATTGCTGTCTAGAGCAGCTGCGTTAAATGGCTGTCGGCTACTTGTGTGAAGCCTGGTAGCATGTTGGTTTGTATATTTTAGTTAGATAGACACACGAATAACAAATGAGAATTTGCTTCCCTTGAATGAATCCGTTATCTTGTACCAAAGTGGATTCAGCTACAATCCAGTTGATCCTGTATTCAGTGTGGGTTGCGCGGATCCCACTTTGCATGACTTTAATTTCATTCAAAATATTGTGCTTCCATAGATGAATCACGAAAGGTATTTGAAGGTTTTTTGTGACTTTTCACATATAATTGAGCGTGTAATTTCTATGAGGCATTTTTATGGCCATTTGACAAAGATTACATAGGCAATTCACTAATTAGGACAAGCAGCAGCTGTCCTCGTGAAGATGTACCACTCACGACACTCATACCAATATAACTCTCGCAAAAGTTTGTGATAATTCACTTCCGAAACCCAAAAAAGGAATCTAGACTCCTAGTAAACCGTTAGCCCTCAGCAAACCGGTTTCTATCAGAATCCGTGATGATTGCTTTAAAAATGTATCATGGTAGGGCTGGGTAACTAGCCCAATTAGCTTTTTTGGCACAGTTCATACGAAATAAATCGCTTAAAACTCACAGACTATTGGTCATTCGAGCTATGGTTTCAATATGCTTGTGATCCTAATGACAGCCCCAAATATACAAGATCTCGATGTGGTCAGACACCAGAACACGGTCCCCTAAGGATTTCAGTCTGTTTGAACCTTGTCATAAAGATCAGTTGTTTAATGCTTCCATCAGCAGTTTCCATTGTTCCATATTTAGCTTCATTACTGGTTTTCAATCACTGTACCTAGTACGATTCTTGGTTGGCTCAGAAACCACATGATTCCAAGTGCAGTTCTAGGCAGGCTCTTTATAAATGATGGCTACGATGTGTTGGTGACCTAGCCAACAAAATCCTATTGGTACTGTGAAGCAGTCAAGGCGAGAAATGTCTATAGCTTATTTTTCAGGATGCTCACTAGCAATAGGATACTTAACACAAGCATGGGTGACAATATACCACTTTACCATTCTGTTTATTGTTTTCAGGTGTGAGAGATAACACGTGGATTCTTATCATAAAATAAAGCGTTAAATACCCGGAAATATCAGTCAGATTGCGTTTGCGATGGTGCCTCAATTGATTCGTACGAATGACCGGATCAATCCGCTTAATCCCTCGGTTACTTACAGGGTACCATAAATCTACTCAAACGCCATCTTATAAATGTGTTCGCAACCCCCAAAAGGTCCCTATTCGGCTAAAATAAGAAACCAACCAGCTATCTTCAGACACGCTATATGAAAGCTTTAAGCATACTATGGACTACCCGGCCGGAACTGAACCTGAATAGCCAACATAGACGGCATCCACACATGTAGGACAATTTCATTGGCAAATCGTGCCAGTGATGTTGAGTGTAACATACCCACAATAACTGAGTGATCACAGTGAATTAGTATACTTCATTCAGCTGTTCTTCGAGAACAACGTGATCCAATTCCCCATGTCTTTCGACTCAAATCTGTTGTTGCCTTCAGTTGAAATGGCAGGCATCTATCGTAAAAAACATCTACAACAAATGCTAAAAAACCGGGAAACTAGTCACCTGGGACGGTTAGACTCTGCACTGGTCCGCACATGTATACGAAAAATAGCGTAACAAGCAACCTGGACCATGTATAAATGTGGAAGCGGCCGTTATTGTCAGAAAAATAAAGAAACAGAACAATAAACTTGATAAAGATGAGGAAAAATAGCTGCTTCATGAAAATGCACGATGCTGAGAATTGGCTGTGTTGGGTGGCTGTTTGAAGCAAAACACAAAACCCATGAGCGATTCCCGAAAACTGTGGGGCGGTAGAATGAAACAGGTGAAAGAATCACGCTAGTGCTAAGCCGCAACATTCTTTTTTCCGGCCTTGGAAGACAAGTTGATTTTGGTCTGTAGCTTAACAAGAACAAAATCTTCTCTCTATCGATCAGAAATTCCATAAAAATTTCCCCACTGGCAGTTCATATTTTCACCGCTGATGAACCGGTTTTTACGTTTGAAAGAATCTCTGCCGTTACACCATTAGTTCAAAGTTTTGAAACACCTGAAGATAGGTTTTGGTTTACCCAGACTTATCAAATGTAATCCACGTTGAGCCATTGTTTTGTAATAAACATATCTAAAAACTTGTCATTTTAGTCTGGTTAAAATAAGAATAGTCTCGTTATCTCAGATACCCGCGATGCTTGCGTAATCAGGGATACAAGTGTAAAAATAACTTATTTGTCTCCTTGCTTTATGCGCGCACAACCAAGCTGATTCAAACTGTTAGGGGACCCTGTTTCGTTCAGCTAAACCCATTAGGTTGAGGAGTACAATATAACCATGGGTTCCGAAAGACTGCAGTGCTTTTCACCCGCGTAAACGGTGTTGAGGCAGAGCCCACACACATTTCTGTTGAAGAACAATTGAGTGTGCACAATTAATAAAGAGCCAAACAGTTGTATGCGTAGAAGAATTCCTAAACATCTGGAAACCCACAACTTATTAGGGACACTTCTGGACTAAATCCTAACGTTTCAAAACCAAATAGGTGATTCATTATGGTCCTTTTTCACTGTGAAACTCTTTGTGTCATGTAGCTTTCCTCCTAGACTCTTGAATACACTACAGAATCCACTAGATCAGTCCGCTGCGCGTGGTGCTCATATCTCAGAGTAAAGATCATTCACTTCATACGACTGAATACCATTGGACCCATCATTAATTATTACGCAGCTTAGAAGAACTATACGAACAATGTGACTTCCAGTAGGTTTCCCGTTAACTAGTGGGGTGTGCGTCATCGATCAGTCATCTTGAGTATGTTCTTTATGGGAATCTCAAGAAAGCAACCTCCAGTTCATCAGGTTTGTGATCCTACTTTCAACTAATGTAAACAAGCGCCAGCCTGAAACCTTTAAAACCTGATATTTCTTTTGTAAATAGCTGACGTACTCCAAATGCCATGAAACATCAAAGTATTGCTCAAATTTCCTCGCAGACCGACTGACTTCGCTAGCAGACTTGTTAGACTAAGACTAGCCCAATGCATCTCAGAGACAATGATACTTCACTTAGTATCCTCCTAGTCGGGATAGATGAAAAAACGCTTTATTACGATCAACTTAAATTTGTTTTGATGTGACAATGTTTTGAAGGATGAAGTGGATACGTTTGGGCGGCTGAATAAGTTGAAGCTCAAATGGAAATAAACGACAATGCCGTTGGTTTTGGTCAGTTTATTGCAAGTGATTCATTCGTTTGGTCAAGAACTTTTAATGAGTCAGATGTTGATCAAAAAATTTAATTTCTCACAAGTAGTTTCAGTTTATATGGGACTTAGCTGTGCACCAGCAAATAAAGATGAAAGCAACTTTACAGCATCGTAAAAGTACACATTGTCACAGTAAGCAATAGTTTAGATATTTCGAATTTAAAAATATTCTATCAGACATTCCAAAGTGGTACAAAAGTGCGAAGTTTTACCGGAATATTTGTCAAGGTGCAGCAAGGTTTGGCTGTCTGGATAAACGTCTGAATGAAGCGATGAATACAGACTACCACCACCTGATCAGTTACCAGACTATTCATCATTTGTAGTGTTATTTAATACTTATCTACCCACCTGAAATGATTTCTCTTTTAGTGATGAACCTAGACATGCGTATGTTTACACAATCAGATCAGCCAGATAGGTCGAATGTGTTCGTAACCAAACTCAACGACAAACATTCCTATTTCCCAGTAAAATATTTCAACTCGGGCTACACTATATGCGTTGAACAGTTTTTAATCCATAAACCCATGTAGACGGCTGGTTGAACGTTCACGTGGTTTTGAATTTCAAAGCAATCTGAACAGGATAATGAATAAATAGGCAATTAGGAAGGAAACGTTTGTCAGAAAATAGAAGACCATTTTTCTTGAGAGAATACACTGCTCGTAGGATTGCTCCGGTTTTCCTCTTTACTAAGTTTAATCAAGTAGGCGTGATTCTCGGGTTTACATCCTATTTTGACACTAAGTTCCACGCAGCTGACGAAATACAGACGTAGGATCGTCCAAGTATAAGTATGAACCCATGACCGAATGCAATTATTTCTGACCCCTTCAGTTGTAATTCTTGTGGAGCATAAAATAACAGTAAGACTATCACGAATATGGTGCAGCACAGATGCACATTTCTTTGAATGATAACCTAATGGTGTGGAAAAAGTTTGAGGTAGCACAGTAATCAGAAAAGGTCACTTTTACTTCGCAAGAAAGTTAATTTCTAGGCATGTATTGTCACCTAATTCCACAATTCGCAAACTTATCTACTAGATGCTCTTCACTCACACTCAGCAAATCTCTGTACCTTATCAAAAACCCGGCAACTGTATCTGCCGTCATAATGGAGAGCTGAATAGAGTGAGGTTCACTCACCGGAAATGATATTCACAGCTTTCTTCTAAGGCAAGAGATTTGATACAGTACAAACATATTTTTGTCAATAAATTTTCCCGCCTTCATTCCAGAAACCATGTATCATTCTACTAAGATCACCGACCACTGCTCATGAAATGCCCGCTGAGGAATACAGGGTAAACAGAAATGAACTTATTTTAAACACTTTATCAATAGGGATACCCAAAACACAACCCTTTTTTCCATCTGCGCCTAGTCAGAAGGTGTTCGGTCATTTAATGAATAAAAAACGGTAACTGATTCTTTAACCAATGACTTCGAAATTGCATGGAAAATTCAGTTTTTTGTAGGGAATAAAAATCTGGGAATTATAAAAGCCCAAATAAGAAATGCATAAGGTGGCATGTTGTACATAGGATTCGAATGATATTTCTTTGACGTATTCATTTTTTGTCCTTTTGAAATGGTAATACATTAAATGCCGCTCACATTATTCGGAAATTAATCGTTTTTGCGAAAACAGCTCCAATTGCAAACTCGACACTGGACAGTCCATGTCAGGATTCCAACCAGGACAGTTTACAACTTCCGGTATGCGATGCTATTTGTTTCGGTTTACCCACATTACTCTACTTTCGCACAAAAAACGATGTCATTATTAAAACCTATCAGCTCAGTATAAACCGGGAAGATGTCACTTTGTTGTTTGTCACAGGGAACGGAAGCCGAGTGTCTGTCGAAATCCAAGTGATTCATCGTGTTGGAATGATTTGTGTCGGTCGGCTCGTGCCGCCTGTCAAGATCTCACCTCCCGAAATGTTCAGCTCGCTGACAGACACGTGCTTTGAACGGTTGGTTCTGTGCACTTGTGGCTAAGATATCACAGCTGAATGTCAATAAATCGAAGGCTTTATGTTAACTTTTCGCAGTCTACTAGGTTTATGCTTGATCTGGTTTGTAATACATCGCCACTGCGTTATTGTTGAATTATAATTTTCCCGATATATCGAGGGGTTAGATGAAACGGCGTGAATGTCCCGGAGAATTATTTTCCTCCGAATTCCATTGTGCAAAATCACTCTCAACAATTCCCTCTATGTGATGTATCACAACTTCATGATACAAGAGCCGAATAGGTACACCAACGTTCTGTTTAAAGACCGCAACGGCATTGAAATTCTATATTAGTTTTCGAGTTATGGTATAGAGCTGCTGGCTGCATCAAACAGCTTGTCAAATTGCTTAAGACCAGAATGCTTATTTTATGGATCGCCACAAAAATTATGCTGACATACAAGTCATTTTTTAGGATAAGTTGATGAGGAAGTTGAATAAGGTAGAATCCTGAGGACTGGATGCACATAAAATGGTTTAAAACAAAATCATCTTTGTGTTGTTGATTAACACACATTGAAGTGTGGCATCTGTAAGGAGCGCTAGCTTGTGTTTTTTGCCTGCCACAAAATCCCTGGAAGTTCGATTGAAAACTAGTTTCTTAGACAGAGTAGCAATATAGTTTGTGTCATTACACTCGTATCAACGACTCCAAGGTCCTCAATTTTAGTTCGAAGCTATTAACAAGAAAACGTGCTTTGATTCGTGCTATTCAAGGCCATTTGATTTTTCTGATCCTCATTCGACATTTTGCCGTCATCATATCAAATAAGAAATCAGTGCCGAAATCATGGAGAAGGTAGCCATTTGGGACAGAAAAGGATAGGATTAAAATACGCAGAGATATTTTTGATATGGTATATACGCGTGAGAAGTCAGTGAAGGTCAAGTGCTTTCAAGCTAGGCAAGCGTGTTGAACACAACTGAAGTGAGAAAGCACAAAATAGAATCGAAAAAAAGAGACGGAATGGAGGACGCCTTATGCACGACATTGGGGACATAAAGTTCAGAATCTTCTCCTCCTGTAAAATGAGTTTGTTTTGATTTTTTGGTTTTGCCACAGATTTAACCTATCGAATAGGTGACGCTGTTTTTCCACGACGGAAGAATCAGTTTTGTGTGTAACTGAAGCTCGGTGGATTAATTCTGTGCTGTGGGGCTAAGAGAACCTTTTTGGACGATCTGAATTGTGACCGAGAGGTGCTTCCCGTTCTGGTAAGGTACACCTTTTTGCCTGCAAATGCAATCTACGATAGATAATAAACAGGATAAAAGAATCGTGCCGAGGACACTAATCTGGCTGCAGGAAACTTATGCTAAAATCACCAGTTGATGAAGCTGTGTACCCTTCACCCCGCGGGATTCTGAAGGAATGCACAAATTTTTTTTTACGGCGCCTTATTTCCACCTCTACGCAATAATGTAGTCGACTGTTTACTTTTGGGTTGGTGTTTTAGAGTTGCTTGTGTATTCGAATTATACAAGTGCTATGAGCATACTCGTGAGGAAGGTACCCACTAGGGAAATTTATAGCTCAGAGGGGCGCAAATTCTTCTTAAATGAAGAGGTTGTTGAAATTGAAACAACTAACAAGTGTAGTAAAATCATTTGCAATCAGTGCGAATTTTTCCCAAATTACTGATATCGACACACTAACACATATTCCATGAGAGACTCGAGTTACATAGGAATAGCATTAGCTTACCTTCGTCCAAACAGACAAGGCCAATCGACAAATGGAGAGAACCACAAACTAGCGTCACAGGGCTGCTCCTCAGAGCGTCTGAACATTCAGTTTCGAATGGTGAATATAAGTACATACCCTCGGATTTCTGAACATGAGAAGTGGGTTTAGAGCACTGTCAACAGCAAGCCTTATCTACTGCATACCATGAAATTTCTTTCTTTCGTTCCATAGGAAGGCGACCGATAAAGTGAACTGGTGCAGTCCACTTTTGCTTACATGCATGTGTGGGTAGAAAAATCCGTTACCATCCTGCGAGCGTCACATACATTTGACCATATTCACATTGTTATGTTGAAGCTTTGTGATTAGTGCTACTGCATCTGGCTTTTATCATTCATGCGTAACCAGTTAACCGTTTGCGTACACTGTTATAAAACCTGACACATATCATCCCGATTGTTCACCTCTTTGACATGTTGTTTTCAGTCTGACATGACAGCTGCTCACCGAAAATGACGAACTAACCTTGGTTGAAATTGAGCACGGCAATTTTCCTTGATCAACCATTTCAACTGTATTGCCGGTATTTGGGTCGGAGATTTTCAAAGTTCTTGGATCTGAGTAAGGAAATTAGAGAACAACTATAATGCAGGTTAGGAGGTACTTTCATCGTTTAGCTGAACACATGTGAAGATCAATGTGAGAGTGCAGATTCCAAGTGAATCTTCGGTGCATCCTTAAAGAGAGTTAAGTTGTCTGTGGAGCTTAACAACAGATATGATGGATTCGGACTCCAGACATCGGACAAACAAAGCCAGTATAAACACCTTCATTCATTCAGACATGATCTGGCTGGCATGCACTGACGAAAAAGATACAACAGGATAACTGTTTGTCGGACTCAATAACTCGGAAATCTTCCCGTGAAATGGCAATCTCCGTCAAGTCCATTCAACCCGTGGCCCAAAAGCGCCGTAATGCGCTCCTTGATATCCTACTTATTTAGTGAAACATTTCGAAAACAACTCAAAATAGGTTCCCAAGAGCTGATTTTGGTGAGTAGCTTTGATTTAATTGTTGAATTAGGCTAAATATCAGTACCAACTTTCACTCCCGATTTCCGAAGTTGTTCATTAAATGATTAGTGCGCAGCAAACAGTAGTACTGAATTCCAAACTTAGCTGCAAAATTATCCCTCTTAAGAAAACCTCTATACAGACAGAGTTGTCCCTCTTTTTGAAATCAAGGCATAATTTTTTTGAAGAAAATACTTATTTAAGCTTTTGTGAATGTCAGCGGTTACTTTATTACAAGCAAGTGTAAACGAAAATGACATAAGAACGATTTTGACACGTGAAATCAAAGCGGTCAGCAACCTGTGTCATAGCTTGAGTAAAAATATTTAAATTTTCGACCAAAAATAGACGTTCAATCATGGCACCAGTTACTGTATTGAGTAAAAGCTCGCACAAGATTTACGTTGTTAGATTGCGTAGAATCTGTAAGGGCTCGCTCATTTTAGCAGTTTATCGACTCTGTAATGACTTACAAACTTACAAACTTACATGACTTACAGACATGTGATATTCATCCTCATCTTTGTTCCTGCCTTCACAAAAGCCCAAATGATACAAGGGTAATGTAAAACTGAAGAATTTTGTAGAATATGATGAGAGATATACTCGTGAGTAAGCCTTTCCTATCTGCTCGTTTGGCATGTGTGCAGCATGAGAGGCTAAAGAAGCTGATCAGCAAAAATCACCTGAACACAATTCCATGAACTGCAAGCCAGGTCTCTGTTTTATCAAGTGATATCTATTGATGAAAGCTAACAAACCGAACTTGACTGAATGGTTTGTCTAGTTTACCTTTGTTCAACTCAGTGGTTGACATTTAACGTACTCTCAGAGGGCACTCGATGAAAATAAGCACTATCTTTGAAATGATTGCTTTGATTCATCCAAAAACGGAGCATACAAGACGGTGAAAGCTGCTGGATATCATTCAGTGTGTGTGACAAAAATAAAAGTCTGGATGACAAAACAACTGGTTAGGAGGAGGTACATCGCAAAATCCCGAGTTAAATTAATCTTTTTCATCAAATCGACTGCTGATCAAAAATTAGTGTGACGATAATGAGAAAAACGGTGTTGCCCACACTTGCCTAATAAAAACGCTGTCAATCTGCTTTGCTTGTCGAAAAACGAAATTTTTGTATGAAACAAGATTTTTATAAATTACAGAAATAACAGTATATCTGTTGATAAGTCAGTAGAGGAATAAAACCACTATAAATGTATGGTGAACCAAACTCACTTTTGGATGAGGCAGTTACTACAAGTTTGCAAGCAACACAAATTTAAGCCAGCTGATGAGTATCCCCTTTTTACAACCTATGAGCTGCATCAATAATGTCCTTCCGAAATGGGCTCCTTCGAAATCAATTCCTTGTTTCTGGACCGAAAGACGAGAAGTGGGTACAAAGACATTCATCCAAAGACCGTTACCAGAATAATATCACTGAGTACAGTGAATGTGTTAAGTTATTACGCACGATCACAAGCTACTTCATTTTTCTCTTTCTAAGTTGCCTGTTGTCGTTTTGAAGGGTCGGCTTTTCCATCGAACATCCAATGTCCTAATCACTTTCAGACTGTGCAACAAATCGTCGGATATAAAAACTGCGCAGCTAGAAACCTATTATTAGTCTCACTGTAATACAGTGCAAGGATAGACAAAACAGTTAATCGGAAAGGGAAAGTAGTTTACATAAACAGCGGTTGACGGAAGCAGGTACGCCCATGAGCACTTAGGTGAGGGCATTTGCAACAGACACAGGCTAAAAGCACTCCTTTATCACAGCTTTGTCGAAATTCGAGGTACTTCTGAAGTTTTGAGGCGCTTTTTAAACTGATTTATACAATGAAAACAGTGATCTTGTATTTTCACCCCACCTTCTGGTGACATATATTTACTGTGACGATTCGGACTCCTGGAGACTACTCCCTAGTTGTTTTCGTGAGGGTGATTTTTAACCTGAATTTATGTAGCACTGTGGCGCCGCACCTCAAACTGCTTTATTGAACTGTCTGACAACTGGGTTTTATAAATCACAGTTTTGTTAGTTTTCACCGGAAACATCCTATCGAAAAAGCCCACTCTGCCAGGTTCCTACGGAAAACTACGTAAATCAATTTTGTTCCTAATATTTGTCCACTGAATTTTCACAATTTCCAGTTGAAAATGAAACGAATACCTACATTAGTCTAAAAACAACTAAAACACCGGCAGCTGTGTTGAAAAAATCCTGGATTTCTATGCCTGCCATTTAAACTTTAAAACAATCTTGTACGAACTAAGTGTTAAATGATGTACAGAAAAGCGTTAAACAGAAAACAACAAAACTTGGTCGCATTAGGAGCAGAATCCATTTGAACCTGTACAATAAGTTTATACACCTGGGAGCCTTTACGGTGGGACAGCTTGTGAGACAGATACACTTTCCATCTTCAGCTAATTACCTGAGGAACAGCGTCATAAGTGACCAACAAAACAGTTCGAATACAATTTGGTGAACTCTGAGTAAGTCCATCAGGGACAAGGATAAATAAGTGCAAATTTTCAAGTATGAGGATGTTTACCGCGCATAGCATTCAGTGGAACATAAACGTAATGCTGCCCTCAGAAGCTTCAAAACATCTTTGGTTTATAAATTCGGCTTATGAGTTAATCCAAGTTCAAAGGTTTGATATAGTGCTGGAAACTGTGATGACTTCATCTATAGAAATACATAAATGGGGGTGATATTCAGAAGAAACTATCTGACACGTCATGCTGTTCAACCTGACGCGTTGAACGTTGACACGTTAGTTACCAAGTCTTCAACCCAGATGCCTTACTCATCTCATTTAATTACGTACGCTAAAAGGCCCTGCACCATGGTAAGCTCTGACGGTGCTGTTGGGAGGCACGCCTTAAGGGAAACTTATTGAAGTTCAGCAAGTTAGTCTACTTGGTCATTCGAAAATGCTCCGTGTCTATTAAACAAAGTTATAAGCGGTCTAAAAGTACGGTGTTTATGAGCCTGAATATGGTTACGATTATAAATTAACTTCAAAATTTTTCTAAAAACTTACTGGAGGGTCAAAACATGTCAGTTTTTTGACAGAATAAAACATTTTTCTAGGTAATTGGATAAAAGTCAAAACTCCATGTGGCTTTTTATGACACCTGGCAGCATGGACCTTCGTTGATAGTTAACTTCGTAATTCCACATTTTGTTCACTAGCGTCTACCAGACTATCTTTTGTATTGTATCCACCCTGACTCATACAGATTAAATACATTCAGAACAATACTATGAAACTTTCACATGGAATAGTTTATGTGTTGACCAATTCAGGATGCTTGTCTATCATTCTCGTTAATTTTTTTAGTTTTAGAAATCACACAGTAGTTTCCCACAAAATATGGGTGTCACACCAATTTGACCACACCAATTAAACTAAATAACATTAGCGTATATACAGAACGCTGTGAGCTCAATTGACGAACAGAATGCAAAACATGATTGTTAAAGACTCTAAAAATATTGAGCGCTGATCGTTTTCTGTACGTGGTATTCCAGGATGGCTTCTCTGCCTCAGGCCTCCTGTTACACCGAACTCGAGTAGATGCCTAATAATCCTCGAATTTGGCAGCTTTCTCTAAAATATGCTAATCAGTACTCTGCGAGTTGTTTGTGCGGGTTTCAGCGTGGATTTGTTTGTGTGTGTATGTCTGTGTGAATGTTAATTAACTCCAGCTACAGACTCTATCATAGACGATGTGAAGCCCATAGGCTGCCGTACTCCCTCACGTAGTGTGATGGTTTAATGTCACCGGTCCGCTTCTACCCGGCTCAACACCCCGTATGGAATAAAAATGATGAGAAACAAATGAGGTTTGTGTGAACGTGTGCGTTTGCGGAAGTGAGTCTGTTTTGCAATGAATTAACTGAGATCAAGAGCTTTGCTCTGCTATGTGATACAAACGGACATACAAAGACGAGCATGGGGCACGTGGTGCGTGGATGGATTAACTCGAGCAGTCCAACACATACATATCCATAGATTTCCACATGTGATACAATCGAACAAACTGCTAAAGACAAACAGGCAATGAAAATGGGGCAACATCCGTATCGCAGAAGTGAGTGAGCAAATGTGCTTCCACAATTAGACAACAGGCAATGGAGCTTTAAATCACATGCAATTAGTTTCTGGGAGCAAAGCTGAGAAGACCTTTCCAGTCAGTGTGTGTGTGTGTGTGGAAACCAACTTGTTACACTTTCAAACCGTTGACTCATCACTGGAATGGAGAACATTCTTTGTTCCGCGAAAACCGACAGAAAATCAGGACCAATGTCCAATTTTAACAAGCCGAACAGATAGCTGACCGAAGTAGAACAACTCTAAAATCTAGTAGTGTGATTTTTCGTGTAATTTCAAACCCACGAAATATACCACAGCTTGCTAGGTGGGTCATTTCTCATTTAGAATGAACACATTTGAATGAGGTACTCCGCATTGAAGGTCAATGCAGGCAAAAAGACATTTTTAAGAAATTTCAAGGCTAG